ATGTTCCAGGAACTCAGCTAACCCAGAACTGAAACTCAGCCAACTGCATTCACATTAGTATATCCTCAAATATATCCATATATTCAGCAGAGTCCACAGGGGACAAAGCTAAGCAAACATCTTCATCACAACCACCATGTTGAGCTTGTTGGTCCTGAAGCCACTGGGCCATACCCTCAGGGGACGTCAAGGGTTATTGGCCTAGCAATGCAGTAAGACAAGTGAGTCGTAACTAGATTCTTAGAAGCTATTGAGTAGTCAACTGTTGTTGTACACTGTGGAGTCAGACCAACTCATAACTAACTGACCATTTAGTGGATTATCAGAGGCAGTAAATCATCTCTGTAAATCTGAGATTGCCTATCCTTTTCCCTCAGAGCAACTGGTCAATTAGAAATGCATGCAGCATAGCTTCTTACCATTGGCCTCTCATTCAGAACAAAAAAGAGGGAAGAAAAACAAAGATGTGTTGGAACAAATTAGTCTTAAGGACTAATGGGCCATTGGAACCTTAGTGTCATGACCCTAAGGCCAGAGAATTAGATTCCTAAAGGAATCCCAGTAGGAGTTTGGGATATAGTGGGGGAAGTGCAGAACAAAACTCAAACCCACAAAGACAGCAGGGTGTACTGACCTTGGGAGACTTGTGGAACCCCCAAGACTATGACCTTCAGTCATCTTTGGAACTTGGAATTCTTCCCTGTGGCTGAACTTTCAGGCAAGTAATAGACAGGATTCTGTGGTAAGGAGGTGCACTGTCAACCCAAAGGCTCATGGTTCAAATCCATCAGCTCCTCTGTGGAAGATAGATGGGCAATCTCCTCGTCTGTGATTTACTGCTTCTGAAAACCCATTAAAGTCAGCTTTTTTTTTTAAAAAAAAAAGTAATTTATTTTGTGTGTGTGTAACCATCAAGTCAGATCCTCCTGGTACAGGAGGAGACTGTCCCTCCTCCAGCACAGCATCTGGTAGATTTGAACAGTGCACCTCTAGGATAGCAGTGCAGCTTCTTGCCACTAGGCCACCAGAGCTCTGAGAGTCAGTTTTGAGTTGGTTCAGACTCAATGGTACACAACAACAACATGAGCGACCAGTAACATCAAGGGAAGCATTCAGCCCTGAGAAAAACTATCCAGAAACAGTAAAAAGAACAGCATTTGCACAGGGAGAAAGCCCAGAAGAGGTAGGATAGAAAGATGAATAGAGATGAGAATTACAAGAAAAAAGCAGGAAGTGTGCAGTTATGTTCTATTGTAATTAATGTTACAAACCAAAATGCGTAGGAATGGTTGAATGAAAAACCAATTTGGTTTGTAAACTTTCATCTAAACCAAAACAAATACTAATACTAATAATAATAATAATGACTACAGCCTCCTATATGGACTGAAGCTCAATGTTAAGAAAACAAAGATTCTAACCACTAGGCCAACTGGCAGCATCAGCATGGATGGTGAGGAGATTGAGATAGTTAACAGTTTTAATTTACTTGGCTCCATAGTCAACACTCTTGGTAACAGCAGCCAGGAAATCAGGAGATGAATTGCATTGGGAAAGTCGGCTGTGCGGGACCTCTCAAGAGTACTGAAGAGCAACGATGTCAGGCTGGAGACTAAGGTGCGCCTGATCCGGGCTATAGTCTTTACAATTATGTGCTATGCATCAGAGAGTTGGACAGTGAATAGGGCTGATAGAAAGAGGATTGATGCCTTTGAGCTGTGGTGCTGGAGACGAGTGTTGAATATACCATGGACTGCTAGGAGAACAAACAAGCTTGTCCTGGAGAGGGTGAAGCCAGAGTGTTCCCTGGAGTCAAGGATTCTGAAGCTTCGTCTGACATATTTTGGGCATGTTGTAAGGAGGAACTGGTCCTTGGAGAGGGACATCATGTTTGACAGAGTGGAGGGGCGGCGAAGGAGAGGAAGACCTTTGATGAGATGGATCGATTCTGCGACTGGAGCGGTGGGAATAAGTGCGTTTGAGATGGCTAGGTTGGCACAGGATAGAACAGCATTTAGAGCTCTTGTACATAGGGTCCCTATGAGTCTCAAGGGACTCGATGGCACATAACAACAACAATTAATAATAATAATAATAATAATAATAATAATAATAATAATAATAATTCCGTCTTCATATGAGATCCCCTAGGTGCAGGGGTCCAGCATCCAGGATATGCGGCCCTTGCAGGTCCTCACCTTCTCTGGATACCTGCTCCCTCAGGTAAGCCCTTCGAGCCTGGAACAGGGCCCGCTGAGTGAGTGACGTCAGCATGGCGTGCACAGCATCCAGGCCCTTGTAGCTGCAAGAGAGTGGGTCGGTGCAAGGCTTGAGGCCCCCCTGCCCCCACCTCAGCACCTCTGACTCGATCTTCCTCACAGCACCCACGCCCCAGGACTTACACAGCCTGGAAGTCTTGGCAGCTCAGCCCCGAAGGTAGTAGCAGGACAAGCTGAGGATCCAGGCTGGGCAGTAGCCCCACCAGGCTCTCCTGGAACCAGAGGCGCAGGGTGGGCGAGCACAGGTCGGGCAGGTCGCGGGCCAGCTTCTGAAGCAGCATCTCCAGCAGGGGGTGTGCCCCGGGGTGTCCCCTTGGGGGGCCTGGCCACGCCTCCAGGAAGGCCTCAACGAATCGGAGGTCACTGCTGTTCAGCAGCTGGAGCACACGGGGTGCCAACTCGGTGCTGTCCAGTGCTTCATGAACCTGGGAGAAGGCGGCCAGCTGTGGGGCGGTCAGGAGGTGCAGCGAGGTGGCCTGCAGGATGGGTCGTGGTGAGAAACTGGACTTCAGGTGGCCATAACCCAGAGCACAAAGGTGACCCTGAAGACTCACTGCGTCAAAGGCGGGCCAGGCAGCTATCAGATCTGAGAAGGACACTAGGCGCCGGAACCCTTTCCAGTTGGTGAGGAGCCAGGCGGCGGAGGAATCCTTCGGGCAGGCTGTGGACACAGGGCAACTGAACTGGATCCCCAGAGCCTTAGGTAGACCCTTGGACTTGAGGGAGCTACCCTTATCCCAGTCACTCACGGGACAATGTTAGGAAGCGTCCGATCCAGCTGGCCACCATGCGTTGTCCAGCAGTCTCCATGTGTCCAGTCATGCTGTCCAGCGCCTGAACCCTGCAGGACACAGACACCACACACAGCAGCATGAGAGGGACCTGAAATAGCCCTGCTGTCTGTTTCCTGACAGGGTCAAGCCACGCCCACACATTAACCATACTCACTGACCACGCCCGCCCACTAACCACACCCACTCTCTGGCCATGCCCATTCACCACTCCATCAAGCCCCGCCCATCAACTGGATCCTACACACCTACCAGAGCCCAGACCACTGACCCAAACCCTGACCCATTTCCTTTCTCCATCTAGCCCAAGCCCATCACCCTCTGAGGCCCATCCACCCATTCCCACCATCTATTCCAAGCTACACCTGCCCTCTGAGACCGCCCATCTACCCAAGTGCTGACCATCTGCCTTTCCGGCCGTACTGTCCTCTGAGGCTTGACCCACTCCTACCATCCACCCCCAGGTCCAGCCCACCTTCCGAGCCCCATCCACCCTGTGAAGCCCACACACTAACGAATCCTGCCCACCCGTCCCTCCATCGATCCTGAGCCCTTCCCAGCCTTGACCCCACAGCCCTCCAGAACACCCACACGATGGCCAGCCCGTCACAGGGCAGGCGCAGCTGGCTGAGGCACTCCAGGACAGCGAGGTCCACCGCTGTCAGGAAGGGCAGCAGCGGGCCCTGAAACCAGGCCCCCAGGAAGCCCGGGCTGACCGCCTGGGCCTCTGCACTGACCACCGCCCAGGCAGAGTGTAGCACCAGCCGCTTGGTGTCCTGAGGGATCCGGTCACTGTCCACCTGTAGGAAGGGAGGGGGTCTGAGATGGTGAGGCCTCTCCTGGGACGTTCAGAGTGGATGGGGAGGAGGCCTGTGACGCGTCTACCTCCAGAACAGTCTGCTCCAGGGCTCCTCGCAGGCCTTCGGCTCCAGCCCGTCGGAAGAGCAGCTGCAGAGCATGGGGTTCCAGGGTGTCCCCGGGAGGTTTGGGCAGCAGGCAGCGCAGTAAGGCGGGAAGGTGACCAGAGGGTATGGGGCCCTGAAGGAGCAGGGGTTCCTTGTTGTGAGGCCAGATTGCTGCGCCGGCACCGCGCCTCCTCCCACCCTGAGTGCGCACATCACCTGGGCACAAGCCAGTGATATCAGCTGCAGCGCTGAGCAGGGCCCAGTGGGGGAGCGGCTGGGGGCATTCGGGGAGGTGCTAGGCGACTGGGTGGTGTCACCTGGGGTGCTGAGGAGGTAGAGGTCCTGGGTGTGGGGAGTTCCTATGGACCCTCCATCCTCCTCCCACACTTGGGCACCCAGAGGACTCACCTGGACACCCCAGTGCAGTAGGACGGAGCTGGAACTGTGGGCATAGACCATTAGAATGGAGCTCTCTCCCCCAGCCCCTTCCCACCCTCCAGCTACTCCCCTGGCTTCCACTCTGCCAGAACTGAACCCCCAACAGTACAGAGACTCACGGACAGTGAGGGCAGGACACTGAGGGGAAAGAAGAAGAGGTGATAAGTGGGGCTTGTGCAGACCCCTCCCTGATTGCACCCCAGGTCCCCACCTGCTTTCTCAGCTGAAGACTCTTACCTCAGTCAATGCCTGCACCCTAAGAGGCCCCGAGGGACAGGAGAAAGTGGACATCAGAAAGGGACTGATCCCATTTCTTACCTGCTCCCTCCACCACACCCATACTTACCACAGATCAGCCAGGCCAGTGCCACCAGCACCAGCAGTGGTCCCTGCTGGCTGGCCCCTCTGACTGGCGCTCTGCGGAGAGGAATGAGTCACTGTGGGACTGAAACCTCTTTAGCCAGAAAAGAGAGGATCCTTACCCAGACCCACCCCCAGGTCTTGGGACTTCCAAGGCCTTCTGCTCCCACTTACTGGGTCTCTGTGCATCCCCACAGCTGAGGAGCCCAGGGCAGTCCCAGCCCTCCATGACTGCCCCATATCTGAGCCTGGCTGACCTCATTCTAGCTGCCTGTCCCCCAGTGGCCCGCGTAAGTTCCACTGGCCCCTGCAGTGTTCAACTCTCCCTGCTTTCCCACTTCCCCCTATCCTCCCCATCTTGGTCCTTCCAGGTGCCTCCAACACTTGTCATGTCAGCCCCACAAAGAGGAGTGAGGCCCTCCTTGAGCCTCAGTTTCTCCAATCTGGCCACCCTCCAAGGGCAGGCAGAGCCCTGCGTGGCCTTACATGTCCTTGGATTTCCATAGGGTCATTTTCTTGGTTCCAGGGACCAAGGTCCTGCCCTTTGATTTGCAGGACCCCAGCCTCCGTCTTCAAAGTGTCAGCAAATTTTCCTAAAGAAATTGGTAGGTTGTGATCAATGGAGAAATCTCACCACCTTCTCTGGTCTTCCAGGGCCTCCTGGGACCTCAGATATCAGGATTGCCACCCTTGTCCAGTCCCTTGTGGAAGAGTCTGCATCGCTGGATCCTGACATCACCATGCAGGGCCAGGTCATGGTCGAGGGTCTCCACTGAGGGTTTCTTTGGCCCTCATCCCAGGACATTCCCCCACCACCATCCACTGCCCCCATAGCGGGAGACACCACTGACCAGCTAGTCAAATGACCTCAGGATGAAGGAGCAAGCAGGGCAGGAGATGGCACTGCCTTTTATGCCTGGGGTGGGTGGGGGATCTGGCAGCCCTACCTTCCTTTTTTGGGGTGCAGAAACTGGGTGAGCCAGGCAGAGATTGCCACGCCCTGAGGTCATAGGGCCAGTTCCGGACTATACCTAGTGGCTGACGAGGGCCAGAGCAGGGAGAGGTCAACCATCCAGCTTCCTCGCAGGACTGGTTCTATGGGACGTCATCTGGGCACCTAGTAGACTCCAGGTGCCCCTTAGCCACCCCCCATGACATACACTGGGGGCTGCCTACCCTCCATCCTTGGGTTTTGTACCAGGAGAGAAAGTGTAGGGCTCTGTAGCTAGTGAACTGGGGACCCTGCATATGCTGGCGCGGGGATCCTCTAGGGTCAAGGACAGTGACTGGGCACTTTGGCCTTGCCCAGGACCTCCATACCCTGTGGTCATCTTTTGTGAATCCTGGCCAGCCCATGTGCCCAATGGGAGACAGGCAATACAGAGCAAGAGAGACGCCTGCCTGCATTGTGTCCCCCACTCCTGATTGTCACCACTGTCCCCACCCTCTAGGTGCCCCCATATACCCCTTGTCCGAGTCTCCTTGGGAGTGGTGCTGGGCCACTTACCAATACCCATTTTACAGACCTGGAAACAGAACTTCTGGAATGTTCTTCAGAACCATCACAGTAGCCGAGACAGGAGTTGACCTGAAGGCGTCCAGTTCCAGAGCTCAGGTTCCAAGGATCCTGGTGGCACAGTGGTTAAGAACCTGACAGTTGATAGAAAAGTTGTTGGTTCACATCTACTGATCACTCTACAAGGGACAGCTATGTAGTTTGCTGCTGTGAAGCTGGGGAGCAGCTCTCCTCAGCCCTAATCATGCTGAGCCCGAATGGTGGTGGGTTAGGTTGGGTTTAGTTTTCTGGTGAAGAGGGATCAAAAGCCATCTTCTGTGACCCTCAGCCAGTCTGAAGCCTCCCCACCAACGTGGAACAGTCAGGGAGGGGGACGTGCAGCCACTAAGAGCCAGGCCAACCAGGGCGGGCTTTCTGGGAGAGGTAGCCTTACAGAGTCACAAAGGGAATCTCTGAGGGAAAGCTCCGGCGACATCCATATAGAGAGCCTTGATTTGAGTGAAAGGAGTCCAGCTGGCATAGTGTGTTATGTGTTAGGCTGCTAATGGAAAGGCTGTCAGTGTGAATCCCCCGGTTGCCCCATGGGAGAGAGTTTCCCTAAAGATTCACAGCCTCAGACACCAACAGAAGGTTGTTGTGAGTCGCTGGCAGTTTGTTTGTTCTTTTCTCAAACAGTGGATCATTTCTATTGTTGGCATTTGAGTCCCCAAGCAGATGGGAGTGTGGTCAAGACGCTCAAATTCATGGAGAAGATAGCACAGTGGCGAGGTCTGCTGCGGGCTCTGGGCAGGGTCTCCTGCTCTGCCTACACCAGCAAGGTCATGCAGGAAGGCCCCTGGTGGCTGGGTGCCCAGGCCTCCTCAGAGATCCCCTGCAGAATTCAGACCAGAGAAACCAGAAACTTCATTTATCCAGCTTCTTAGACACGACAGGAGGCGAACTCATGACAGATCTGGCCACCTGCACATAAAAGGTGTTTGTTTTTTTAATTCAATGTACAGAAAAAACAACTTTGAGGCTACTTTGTTCACTGGAACAAACTGGTGCTGTTTCCTTCTGAGATTCATAACCTCCTAAGGACAAAGGTGGTGGGCCAGCAGAAGAGAAGAAGACCTTCAATGAGATAGACTGACAGGCGACTGCAGCAATGGCCCTATGCTTGTCAAGAGATGATGAGAATAGCACAAAATAGGACGGAGTTCAGATAGATTGTTCACAGGGTTGCTGTGAGTCATACTCGACTCACACCTAACAATGACAACAAAGGTTCTCCTGTTTCTATTAGACCAGTGAGACTGGTCATTTTTGTAATTTGAAATTTTATTCCACCTTTCTGCCTACTCCACCTAGAACCTTCTACTGGATACCTTTAACCCTGTGTTCACAGCAGAGACTGGCAAACAACAGTTGAAAAAAAGAGATGTGACATTCCCAGTGCAGCATTTAAATAAAGTTTTCTTGAAACAGGGCTAAGCTCATTTGATCACACACTACCTGATTGCATGGGCAGAGTCGAATGGCTGTGACAGCATAGCACTTCTGTCCCCATCTCCATGCAGTGGAGGCAGGGTTTCTGGCGACACATGCACCGCCATGGTGTTCTATGAACTTGAATCCACAATTAGCACTCCTGGCACCAGCAGCCGAGAAATGAAAAGGTGAGATGCATTGGGAAAATCTACTGTCAAAGACTTCTTCAGAGTGCCAAAGAACAGCGTCAGTCTAAAGTGTAAGACGTTCTGGACAGATATCACCTAACAACAACCACCACAATATTGCTTCTTGTCTGGAAGGATAACACTTTTGTGTGGTCAGCTCAAATCTGCTGTCAGGGACCTCTCCAGAGTACTGAGAAGCAATGATATCAGTCTAGAGACAAAGGTGCACCTAATCCAAGCCATGGTCTTCACAAAATTACTTGTCACGCTTTAGAGAGTTCGACAACAATTACGGATGACAGAGAAGAATCAATGCCTTTGAATTGTGGTGCTAAAGAATAGTCTTGACGCAGCTCGAGGGCGAGGCCGCCAGCCGGGGGAACGCCGCCGCCAGAGCAGGGAACGCCGTGAGAGGGACCCGGAAGAGACCCGGGAAGAACAACAGCCAGCCACCTACCGCGGAACTCCAGAGGAGCGAAGACTG